CTGGGATCTGCTTAAATGTTTTAAGATCAGCTTAACAACTAGGTTTTGCAGTCATTGTTGCAAAAGCTAGCCAATCAGACGCCTTCACTGCTGGCAGAATAAGACAAGAAAAGAAGGCAGATAATTGTACCATACATCACGTGTTCTACACTCTATCTAAACCTATTCTGAAAACAGTAAAAATTTTAATGACTTTTCCTAAGATGGTTTCTTTAGAAAGGAGTACATTTAATTTTTAAAAACTCTTGAATCCACAATCCACAAAGTGACTAAATTAGTAGACCAACAAAATGCTGTGGACATAGTATATTTAGACTTCATCAAAGTATTTGACAAAGTAGATATAACCTACTTCTTGGCAAGTTAGAAAAATGTGGGATAGACAGCATTACCACCAGATGGATTTGTAACTAGCAGATAACCTGTACTCAATGAGTAGTCCTTAATGGTACTAAAACTAAGTAGAGGGAAGTAACAGTGAGATACTACAAGGTTCTGTCTTAGGCCCAATACTCTTCAATATCTTTGTAAATTACTTAGATGAGAGAATAGAAGGGGAACTTATCAAATTTACAGACGACACTAAGCTGGCAGGAATAGCCAACACCGCAGAAGGCAAGTTCAGGATCCAAAAAGATCTTGATACACTTGAACAAGGGGCCCTATCAGTGGTGGGTTTCAAAAAAATTTGGAACCTCTTCTGTAGGTGTGGCCTGCTTTCCGGGTCCACTGGTGGAACCTCTTCTAACCAGTTCGGTAGATTTGACAAACTGGTTCTACCGAATTGGTGCGAACTGGTAGGAACCCATCTCTGGGCCCTATCGAACAAAATAGAATTTAATATGGAAAAAAGCAAGGTTTTACCCCTGGGCAGGAAAAACCAAATACAGATTAGGCGAAACCTGGCTCAAAAACAGTAACTGTGAGAGGGATCTTGCAGTCCTAGTGGATGACTTAAACATGAGATAACAGTGTGTGGCGGCAGCCAAAAAGGCTAATACAATCCTTGGTTGTATAAACAGAGGCATAGAATCAAAATCACACGAAGTATTTGCACCACTATATAAAGCCTTGGTAAGACCATACCTGGAGTACTGCATCTAGTCTTTTGGTCACCACATTACCAAAAAATATGTTGAGACTTTGGAAAAAGTGCAAAGAAGAGCAACTAAGATGATTAAAGGCCTGGAGATTAAAACTTACGAAGAACAGTTGCAGGATTTGGGTTTGGCCAGTCTAAAGAAAAGAAGGACTAGGTGGGACATGATAGCAGTATTCCAGTATTTGAGAGACTGCCTGCCACAAAGAGGAGGGGGTCAATTTATTTCCCAAAGCACCAGAGGGCAGGACAAGAAACAATGGATGGTAACTAATCAAGGAGGGAAGCAACCTGGAATTAAGGAGAAACTTCCTAACCGTGAGGACAACTTGGCTTCAGACATTGTGGATGCTTCATCACTGGAGAGACTGAACAGTCATTTGTCTGAAATGGTGTAGGATCTCCTGCTTGAGCAAGGAGCTGGACTAGAAGACCTCCAAAGTCCCTTCCAGCACTATTCTGATTGATTGATTGACAATCGTGTTTACTGCATTGTGCCTGTATAAACGTCAATTGGCTTTTAACAATGTCATAATCCCAATTTAGCTTTCCTAGATCTGATACTATCCAGATGTTGCAGATTCCTTAGAACCCACCTGGCAAGAAACAAAAAAGTGATATCATTGGAAGAAAGCTGTCTTAATTCTTTTACTTTTGGTGTGCCATTCAGTCATCCCCCCAGTAGTTTTGGAATCAGATCCACTGTTATACCACACACCATTGTGGTAGTCAAGAAAGAAGCAAAGAAAGTTACATATAAGTTCAAGCTGTGTGATGGTACTGCAGCTAGTAGTCTAAGGGGGGCGGGGAGCATTATTCAATATGCAATCTCTGACTCTCACCAACTTGACTAACCAGCCTTCAACCTTCCAGCTGATCTCCCACATTTCTTACCGGTGTGTTTTTCAGATGTTTGATCCTAGAAATGCTGGCTAAAAGA